CTCCTTTTTTAACACACCTGATTCAGATCATTGGCTAATTTTGGAGAGAATCCCATTAAGTGAACTGAGTGTCACATGGCATCATTATATAACTTGACATTTTATTAAAATATATCACATTTTGACTATTATTTTCCATGCACACATTCAAATAAGTACACGGTGCATATAACCATTTAGCCTTTATCTCGGAAACATTCAAAATTATTTAATGGTATTTTGATATATTTGTGTTTAGTAAATTAATCATCTATGAGAGCTTGCCATCTGTGGAAAAAAAAGTTAGTAGTTATGTCAAAATGTATACTTACCACCAGCTTTTTTGGGAGAAAACCGAACTCAATTCAACCCATTCAGACAGGCAACCATTGTAACACATGTAAAACAATTGTACGATCGAGAAATTCAGGTAAAGAATCTCAGCCGGAAGTGGGTTGATCTCCAGCGGTTCCAATCAATCAGGTGACCGGAAATGACTGTTCAGCAGGAACATGGCGGAGGAGCAACAGCAGGAGATCTCTCAAAAAGAGACTGATGGTGAGAAGTACTTTACCCCAACTTTGCCAGAATCAGTGTATGTTTATATCGGTTTGCACATGCCGATGCTCTTTCGAGCGGTGTGAAGCGCATGAGCTGATTGGATGAGTAGCTAGCGCTTTGCTAACTTGCTAACAACAATAGCTGAGAGTCCATTGTTTATGTTTTAAAGCACTTGTTTCAGTGTCCAGATCTTAATAATGTGCTATATACGGTCATTAGCGTTATAGAAACATTTAATAAACGAAAGTTAACACATACGCGTTAATAAAAAAAACACTGCACGGTGAAACTAATGTAAAAATACCATTACACTCGTAGTAACATCAATAATAATGTTTAAGATTGACCATGTTCAATTATGGTTTTTGCCAGTTTTCTAGTAACTGTCAAATTTGACACTTAACCGCGTTTGTACTTTGACAGGGCTGAATTGTCTTGCACATGATGAAGCTATTATTGCACAGCAAGATAAAATTCAACAAGAGGTAACTGTTGAGTCATTCTCTCAATAATTAGTATTTTTGTAATGTTATGTGATGCTTTACACACACATTGGTCCTCTAGAATAAAAGGTCTTACTGCAATGAACTCAACAAGTGATGTTTTTGCTTTGGTGCAATTTAATGAAATTTATTAATATCAGCGTTGTTATAGTTTAATCCATCCTGAATGTCACCGTAGATATCGACCAGTATTCCTCTGGTGTCAGAAAGACAGGAATTTTCTGTCCTTAAGCGAGAGTATGCTGACGATGACACCATTTACCAGCAGAAGATAAGAGTAAGTGAACCATTACAATAGAGAATGAATGTTAATGGAATGTTATGTATAAATGATTATGCACTTGTCTTTTATCTCCATTATCAAGTCACATACCATAGAGCTAAGAGAGTATTAGTTTATTTATGCACAAATATGTCCAAGCTTCCCCATCTCTGACTGTTCTTTATAACAATTTTGTCAACAGGACTTGCAGAAGAAGTACTCATCTATACGCAAAACACGGCCAGATGGGAACTGCTTCTACAGAGCCTTTGGTTTCTCACATCTGGAGTCTTTACTTGAAAACAGCAAAGAATTACATAGGTAACCACCTGCCAGCCTACGTTCTGCTTAAGTGAATGAACACTGTTTATTCCTTTGGTTGAATAAATGGTTTCTACTCTACAAAACTGAATATTAAACATTAAATATGTTCTAAATGACACTGACTGTTTGACATCACACACTGGTTTCACTTTCAGTGTTGACAGACAAACTTCTTGTTGCGTCAAGCCTGTTAAGATCAGTTATGTGAAAGAATGAGGAGAAGATAATTGTCTCAAGTAGCTCCTGTAACCTTTAGTACATTCCTCCATGTCTCTGTTTGGTTATGTTCACTTGGCAGGTTCAAGGCTATAGCTGCCAAGAGTAAACTGGATCTTGTGAGCCAAGGTTTCACAGAATTCACCATTGAAGATTTTCACAACACAGTAAGTCTTTAGATGAGTGTGAACTAATGTTTCTGGCATGTTTTACATTTGGCAACGATTCTTTTAACGCTTACTGATGCAGCGTGTAGCGTTTCATTTCAGAAGATGTACCCATATCCATATTCCAGGATGACAATGACAAGATTCATTGGGCTCAAATTGTGAAATAGTGGTTCAGCGAGCATGAGGAATCATTTTCACACATGAATTGGTCACCATAGAGTCTTGGCCTTAACCCCACTGAAAGTCTTTGGGATGTGATGGAGACAGCTTTAAAGAAGGGTTTGAGTCTCCCATCGTCAATACAAGATCTTGGCCAAAAATTAATGCAACTCTTGATGGAATTAATTGTTGTGATGTCGCATAATGTTGTTGAAACAATGCCACAACGAAAGCACATCCCAAAGACTTCAAATAGGGTTTAGGTCAGGACTCTGTGATGGCCAATCTTTCACAACTTGAGCCTAATGAATTTTGTCATTGTCATCCTGGAATATGTACATGGGTACTTCTTCCGACATAGTTGTTTAAGTAATAAAAAGCCACACACTGCATCAATTAGGGTTGAAAGAATTGTTGCCAAACATACAACATGCTATATACAGCATGCTATATTAATCACTGCAATAAAGATTCAATCTTCAACTCTTTAGTATTTGCTTAATTAAACTTTTGGTCAGACATTGTATATACTATTAGTATTTATTAATATTTCAAGTGAGTTTTTTAAAATATTGTAAGGTTTTATTTTAATTGTAGTTTAAGTGAGTCATTTAGTTAATTTTGACATTTTTATAATTTTTTTACACACACACATTTCTATTTAGCTTTAATTCAGTTTGTTTTAGTCATTTTAGTACTTATGAAGTACTTTAGTACGTGTGAAGATGTGTGTGACCAACAGAAGATCGATATGTTACAGCACGACCTCTTAGCTGAATTAAAAGAACTTTAAAGCTGAAGTTTTTTTTTTT